TTTAAGAGAGATCGTGGAATAACCCTAGAAGTATATACGGATGCTGACTACGCAGGATCACCGGTTGATAGAAGATGTATCTCTGGGTATTGCACATTTCTTGGAGGTAACCTAGTTACATGGAGAAGCAAGAAACAGAATGTAGTGGCAAGATCCAGTGCAGAAGAAGAATATCGAGCTATGGCCTTGGGAATATGTGAGCTACTATGGATCAAAATAATCCTAGATGATTTAAAGGTTAAGTGGGATGAGCCCATGAAGCTACATTGTGATAACAAATCAGCAATCAGCATAGCCCGCAATCCAGTCCAGCACGACAGGATCAAACACATAGAAGTGGACATACATTTTATTAAAGAAAAACTAGACAGTGGTCTAGTAAGTGTCGACCATGTATCATCAAAGGATCAACTTGCAGATATCGTTACTAAAGGATTGGACAGTTCTGCCTTTCTTAGAATGATTGACAAGCTGGGGATGATAGATCCATATCTCCCAGTTTGAGGGGGAGTGTTGAAATCCAGCCGTTCCCAGTGTAGAGGATCCGATGGACACAAAGATCAATCCGTGGGATGCTCTCATGGATAACGCCATAATGAAGGAACGAATTTAGGAAAGTTTTTATTAGAGATTTTATTGTATTCTATTATTTCCTAATTAGGATATCTTGTATAGAACTATAAATAGGAAAGATTGTAATGAATAAAGTTAAGCTTTTCCCTCTCAAATTCTCCGCTTTAACAGTCCCTCAACTTTTTAAAAAGAAACCAAAATAGTCTCACCATGAGACTAATGTAATTCCAAAATGGTCATTTAATATAGTTGGGGATCATTTTGGTTCGTCATAAAGAGTCAATGGACCATTTTAATCATTTTCGCATTCTCTTAAAAACTAATCATTGGATTATAAATTCATAAGCTTTTGATCATATGATTAATCATTCTCATTTTTTTTCTTATTATCCATGTCTTGGTTTTAAATGAATTAAAATAGCTAATGAGAGCTTTTCATCAATAGCTAGCAATGGATACATTAAAATATCTATAAATATTACCCTAAATAATGTTTTATGTGTGCCTAAACTTGCTTGTAACCTTCTTTTTGTTACTAAATTTTCTAAAGATACTAATTATTTAGTATTTTTGTCTTTTCATCTATGTTTTTTAAGATTGGAACTTATGAAAGTTGATGGAAAGTGTTAGAGAAATAAATATACTATACTGCTTTGATGGAGAAGTATTTTTGGGATAGATAAGTTTTTGGCTTATGTAGTACTAACACAATTTTTGTTAATGGTCAACTTATTTTATGACATAGAAGATTAGCACATTTTAAAATTTATTATCTAAAATGTTTATTTCCTATTTAAAGGAATTGATTGTTTTAAATTTTATTGTGAGGCGTGTCACTTAGGGGTAAAGGTAAGGGTGTCAGTATTTGACACGATCCGAAAACTCAACCCGAAAATTTTGCGTTAGTGTTAACCCATTTGAGAAACGGGTCGGGTTCGAGTTCTCATGATTTTGACCCATTTGAAAAACCGAGTCAGGTTCGGGTTGACCTGGCGCCGTCTGGCCGAGTCGAGTCGCATTGTCTGGTCCAGTCTCGACTCTCGTCGGTGTCGTTTGGTCCCGTCGACATTGTCCTTTGGTTGAGTCTCGTCTGCGTCGCCTGGTTGAATTGCTTGTCGCCTAGGTTCGGGTTGAGTCGCAAGTCATCCGTCGTCCCGCTGTCCTGCCGTCAAGTCGCTCGTCGCTTCGCCTCAGTTCGCGTCGGCATCGTCGTCTCGGTTTGGGTTGCCCGCATGCCCTTAGACCTCAACCTCTTGCAACCTAAGAGGCTAAGACCGAGCACCGCATGTCCTCAACCCTCGGCCCCTCGCGATTGAATGTCGTCGTCCCCCTGTCTCACCATCACCTAAAGCCAACATGGCCTGAAGGCTGAAGCCAACTCGTGCTGTCCCGAGTTACAAGTCATGTCGGGTTGACTCAGACCCGAAGCTGGTCGGGTTTGAGTTGACCTAAATAATGCCTAGTTAATTCCGGGTTGGACCCGAACCTAACCCGTGACCCGATTTTGATAGCCCTAGCTAAAGGTAATCATGATTCTTTTCCAATATAATCGAGCTTGACTTTAAAATAATATTATTTGTTTAATAGTGATTTTTGGTGACCTTCAAAAGTTAAAATTTTTTGCAAAAAATGATTTATAAATCACACTAGATTATGTTGGGTTGATTTGATAGATAAAAAAAATCTGAAGTTGGGCAAAGGTTTAAAGACCTTTTTCATTGGATTGAAAGTCAATTTCAAACTAAAATTGATAGTCTAAGAATTAACAATAGAATTGAAGATTTTAATCAATATCTTGAACATTTTTTTTTTAGGAGTCATTCACCAATCAACTTGTCGTGATACTCTGCAACAAAAAGGCATAAACAAAAAAAAAATTATTGGAAGTTGCTCTTGCCATTAAATTTTCTATAAATATTCCAATATCAGAAAAATCTCAAAATAGTCTCCAAACTATTTGACATTGCCCCAATTTGGTTTAATTATACAAAATTGATCCAAAATGGTCCCTCATATTGTAAATGTACAAAATTGATTCCAATTTAACGCACTAACTATATAAAATTTATTGCAATATCGTCCCAAAATAATCATTTTTAATCCATTTTGTATAGTTGATAGACTAATCGTACTAACATGATACTCTGGGCTAGATTTGCCATATACTAATAGTTATGGACTATTTTTAAGTTTGCTTTGTTCCAAACTATATGTGAGAGAATGTTTTCTTAACTGCTTGTTATTTAATTAATAGAATCTTTCAAGGGTTTTGAATTTTGAAACATCTTTACAAATGCTTAAAAATATGTTTTCTTATATCCTAGAACATCCATTTGCTAAAATTTCTTTTCTATGTTTGTTATGTATACATACTAAATACTTTTAGGTCAAAGGTTGATCCTAAATATAAAAAATGTATTTTCCTAGTTTATGCCTCTAGTAAAAAATGGTAAAAATGCTTTTATTCTGTCACAAAAAAGCTTTTTGAAAGTAAGAATGTGAGCTTTATTAAGAACTAAACTTTCTTTTAGAAAGATTCTAATAAGGTAGAGAACATAGTCTAGAAAGATAATTTTGGAAAATTTTACCAATTCCTGTAACTAGGTTTGTCATAAATGAGAGTATGAAAACTAGTGAAGTTACTCTAAATATATTTGTGCCAACTGTTGTAACTAGGTTTGTCATAAATGAGAGTGTGAAAACTAGTGAAGTTACTCTAAATATATTTGTGCCAAATGTTGCTTTATCAAAATCAGGGGGAGAAGTTGTTCAAACGGATAAATTAACTTTATTATAATCCTTCTGTCTCTTGCACTAAACTTCAATTGGCCACTTCATCAATTCGATGTTAAGAATTTTTTTTTTTAATGGAGGCTTGCAATAAAAAGTATACATGACTCTCTCTTTTGAATTTGAAGTTAATCTAGGAAAGGAAAAAAGTTTGCAAGTTGAAGAAGAATTTGTATATGCTAAACAAGTCTCTTAGAGCATTGTTTGAAAGATTTGACAATATTATTAGAAGGCAGGATTTTCAACAAAGCTAAGCCGACCACACATTATTTGTTAAAAATGTTGTTGAAGGTAAGGCAATCATCTTTGCTGTTTGTGTTGATTATATTATCCTAATTGGAGATTTTTTCATTGAGATTAGTAACTTGAAGAAAAGCTTGAGGCTAAATTGGACATCAAAGATCTGTTAGAGCATAAATACTTGTCATGGAGTTTGCACGGGTCAGAGAAGGTATTTTCATTGATCAAGACGAGTACGTCATTGATTTGCTGAAAAAAACAGGGACGACTGAATGTTAAGTTGTAGAAACTCCAATGGAGCTAAACTCTAAATTGGAATCGGTTACTAAAAATGAAATGGTGGATTATGAATGCTATCAGAGATTAGTTGAAAGACTAATCTACTTAGCCTATACTCGACTGGATATAGCCTATGCTGTAAACATGGTGAGTCATTTTATGCTTTCGCTAGGACCTGCACACTTTGAAAATGTATCATGTATTTTGAGATATCTCAAAGAGACTCTGGGAAAATATTTCTTAATCTAAAAGAATGGTATCTCTACGTAGAAACCTGGACATATGATGCGTGGGCAAGAGACATTAATGATAGAAGATCTACCCCTGGATGATTTACTATTTAAGGAGCAAAAAACAAAATGTTGTTGTTGGGAGTAGTGATAAAAAGGCACGAAGACGAATTAAAAGATTATTTCATCATTGTCTATCAAAGCCTACTGTGATAACATAGTTTTCTTTAGCATGTAATGTGGTTCTGCATGATAGACCAAAGCATGTAGAAGTTATGAAATACTTGATTAAAAAAAAAATTAATAATAGTGGTATGATTTGTACCACCTACATACTCACTGCGGATCAAATTATATGGATCTTCTTACCAAAGGACTTTGAAGCCACAATTTGAATATTTATTAACAAGCTTTTCATTCACAATATCTTCATGCTAGTTTGAGGGGAAATGTTGAAACTTCCGCCTCCTAAAACATCCGCTCCACCTCTTTCTTTGTGTTTCCTATAATCCTACGAATCAAAGTCGAAATAGTGGAGCATATGGATTGAGGGTTTTGAACCCTTGGATTGCTGTTCATGTAACCATTGGATAGCAATTCGTGGACTCCATAATAGCTCCCCCCTCCAACCTCTTATGGGCTGATTTCATTCTTTCTTAATTAGTATTGATTAATTTTCTTATTTAAGTCCCATAGACAAGTCTATATAAACACTCTACCCTTGTACAAACATATAGAGATAAAATAACAGTAATTTTTCATATATTTCTACTCTCTTTTCTATTCTTTTTTCAATTATATATATATATATATATTGAAAAAAAAACAATATTAAATATATATTAAATTTATTCAATATTAATATGCTCACTTGCTTCTAATTTTCAGGGTGTCATTACTGATACTGGAGGAGCAGACTCTAGTGAGCGTGTTTTTACCCTTGTTGATGATCTCACCGATACGAACAGAAATGGTATTTCTAATGAAACTGAAGGAATGGATGAAGAGGGAGAAAGCTCTGTGGCATCAGTTGAGGAACAGCTGCAGAAAGAAATGACTATATATCAGGTTAGAGCTTTAATGAGGTCAACTGCATACTTTTGTCATATTTTCTGCTGCATAGTTTTTATCTTCCCTATTCCCATGATAATTTATTTATTTTTGTCCTTCAGTTTTCAAAACGAAGGTTCAAGAAGTTTCTTCCATTTTTCAATGAAGTCCATTCCTTCATCTCAGTCATTAGACATTCGTGAAATGAAAAGACGCACATGCGTCTGCTCTCATCATTTCCATCAACCTTGTAAGGCCTCCTTAGCATTTAGCCCAACCCTTCTCATTTTGCATTCTCAGCTCTCAAACCTCCATCGTTTGGTACTTCCCCATTGATTTTCTCCTTTGCTTATCTAACATGCTTTATATTGGGGATCATAAAATATTTTATGTTTATGTGTTGTGTTCCATTCTCGGCTGTCTTTATTTGATACCAATTCCAATATTGTCATCTTAGCATTTGTTTAGAATTATGCTGAATATTTAATGGTTATTGATGCGAAATTCCGTGCTCCAATTTGCGGGTTTTCTGCATAACTTTAGCACCTTTGCCTTTTGATTTTCTAGGAATGTAGCAATTTACCTTCAGATTTTCATCTGCCAGTTTCATATCCTTTGACTCTGCCTTTTCTTTCTACTGCTTTCCTTCAGTGGGTTTTCCATTCCCAGGATTTCAGAATGTTCCTTTTGTGGCGCTGTTCTCGTGGAATTTTAGCAATTAATTGTTTCCTTTCTTTAGTGGCTCTCAAGGTTGAAGTAATGAGCATACATTCCTTCTAAGACCTTTGTTAATGATATTGTTCCATACGGGCGTCTGTCTTTCCATCAACGACTCTTTCCTTTGATTTCATTCGCCCAACACTGTAACACGTGATTTTTTGCATGTTCAGGAAAACCAATAGCTGTTTTTTGCTTGTAAATTTTGGGAAGCTTGCTAAAATTCAAATATGATGTATTGGAATTTGTATCTGAACAGTTTGTGATGGATTTTAAAAATTTACTATTTTTGAGACATATTTGGCCTATATTTATTACCTTTGAGATATAAAGTTAATAAGATGTTGAATAGCGAAAAAATAAATAATTTATTTTTGTTATTGTTTGTGTGTGGGTTGTGGATTCTCCAAGCGCTCTGTAGATCTCGATGACTAAGATCTGCATAGCGTGACATATAGATTTGTATTACAATGATTTCTTTCCTCCTTTTATTTTTTTTTTGTTTTATTTGTGCAAATGGAGAATGCTATAGTGGGACCTTGTTGGAGAGGCATCGAGAACGGCAATACACTGTAGCAATAGTTTGGTTTTGGGAATAGCAAAGAGGAGTGGGTAGCGACAGTAAGGCAGTACATGGTATTACTTATCCCGCATGAGTGTGAGTCTTGATTCACAACTTGTGAAGCTTTGTGAGCTTTGTGAGTGGATTTTCAAATACAAAATCAGGATTAGAATCGCGGAATTATTATTCGGAATTTGGACATGAGTTAATCGAGCAGCTAAACAAGCAAATAAATTGAATCAGTTCGAGCTCAAGCTCAAGCTTGTATAGTATGTGAGCTTAAATCTGAGCTTGTGCCCTAACTCATGGCTTGATTAGCTCGACTTGTGAGCTTTTTAATGAGTTGAGTTTGAGTAAGCTCATGAGCCGGCTTTGCTCACTTACACCCTTATTGATGTCAGTCATCTCTCAATGTTCTTAATGTAAGCACTTTGTGGTGAAAGAAATTTAATTTAGTATAATAGTTTCATTTTGGTTGATGAACTGTTTAACTTGCTTCTTGATTCAGTTAACTAGAATTCAGAATTTGAATGTTGTCATTGTAATTGACCTTCATTCTTTTGCAGAAATTTATTGAAGGGATGCTGACAAACTTTGGTGGTATGCCGCTGGATAGAATACATAACACACTGAAGGTAAAGAGCCGACTTTTTTTAAGAATTGATTTAGTTCATATTCTTCATGCAATTTACCTGTAAACTTGTTCCTAATATTATGTTCAGATGTTCTGTGTTGCTGAGCCAACTTATGACAAGTCGCTTCAAGAACTACAAAGCTTTTTATCCGTACTTAGAGCTGAAGAAAAGTTAGATTTGAGGGATGGGCATTACTATCTAAAAAAGTAGTCACATGAGAAACCAGTAAGTGCTTATGCAATATCATCAAAGTTTTTAGAGTTCTTATGTTTAAAGGTGTTATTATATCAATATTATTATTTATATCTAATACTTATTTGTAGAAATTTATAGTATTTATTATTATAATATACTCTTATTATTGAGAATATTCTTTTTCTTGTTTCTTTGTTAAATTTATATAAATATATTTGTACTGGTAGTATATTTGCAAATATGTTAAAAGGAAAATAGTATCAATATGCAACCCATCTTGACCTAATGGTTGAGTGCGTAGGCTCCAAGCACAAGGTCCTGGGTTCGAGGCCCAATATATACTGTTGTGTGCTTGTGCGTGAATTTATAATTAAATTTATTTAAAGCCTTAAAAGCCTCCAAAAATATCAATGCAGATGCAGTTTGGCTTGAGAATTATTTTTGTAGATATCAAAATTCTTATATTGTGTGAAAGGTTTTATATGCACTGCAGTAGAAGATTGATCTTAAGCTAATCAATGCTTTTTATAGAAGCATGTGTATCATCAATAGAAGCTAGATTGGAAGTATCTATCCTAGAGATTTTCCCTATTAGGAATGTAGCTCCAAATAGGGAGGTCATGGTTTTCTAATGGAGCAAGCTCTTAGGATTAATAACATCCCTGGCATATTTAAGAATACTCTCGATTAAAGAGTCAATGTTGGTGTTTAATCAGGATAAAACTCAATGTAGGACTGATCAGGTCAAAATTAAAATGAACCCTAGGAGGGCTCTATAGAGGATGTAGGTGTGGGATGCCCTAGGAATAAAGGAGGATGGGCTCAAAGGGATCAAAATAGACACGAAGAAGGATTTATAGCTCAACATTGACTCGACGGTGTCATGTGGCGACAACTAATTAGATGAAATGAATGAGTGGATGTAGGAAAGTGAGAATTAACTTATTGAATGAGATAGAAGATTTTGATCAAGATCTTATGATTCCATCATTTCGGGACGGCAGAGCCTTCGTTGACTTAATCATGTGGTGACTTGTGAGGGAGAAGACCATACTTGATAAAGCTTCATAGGCTGTAAGGCTGGCAGATTGAATAGGTTATATTTTAGTTTGTCTATAGAAGTCGACTACCGTGTATGGGAGAAATATTGTGATAGATAGCATAGTAATAGGCTGTTAGGGAGAGAATATTTGTTATCGACTAAGAAATTCTGTAGAGGATGGATGATTGTAAGGGAAGAGAATATTTATATAAGTTCTTGAGAGAATGATGTAAGAGTTAATGAAAGGAGGGATATCTCAGAGATTAAAGGGAGATAGGAAAGAGTGACAGAATAAAAAAGAATGTTTAGGATATAGAAAAGAATACGAGTGTGTTTGAGGGCGAATTATTACGTTCGGTGATCGGATGTCCGGACGAATATGGACACCGGATGTAATAATTTGCCGATTATTATAACATAAATAGAGTGGTTAGTTGTCTAACATTCAGAACTCATCTTATAAGTTATCTTGCCATCTCTGTTTAATCAAAGTTATGAGTTGGTAATAACTAATATAAAAATATAACAAACATTAATTTATCTAAAATGCATTGTATATTTGTATGCATTATGTTTTGATATAATATGAATACAATGATGTTATATAAATATAAATATTTAAACATTATACATGCAAATATATAAGGATTTTGTGACATAATCTCATAAAAATTCAGGATATTCTCTTTTTATTATATTTTTTATTTTATGGATCTTGATGATGAGCACTTGCAGTTGCGCAGGTGCTGAGCCTCTTTAGTGGGCCTGTTGCCTATCAGAATCAATGACTCGCGATCGAGCAAACAACCCGTGAATCTATTCGAAGGAAATATCTGTGGGCGTCATTTAATTTTATTTTTTGTTATTGGTGTTAATCTTAATGGAACATTTTAAGTCTTATTTAATGATGTTTAATTATGGTTTAATGTTAATGGAACATTTAATGATTAATTATGATTTAATTAAGTTTAGAGCTTGTTATTTATGTAATGGAATCAGTATTAATTATTATATTACATGTAAACTTATCAAATGAGCATAATTTGTAGGCTTTATTAGAATTTGCATAGAAAAAGGTTAAAAGTATTGCTATGTTATGAACCTTTTTTGTAATTTAATTCAGAGCTACTAAATATGATATAGATTATTTAATTAAAAAGCATTTATTTTGATTAAAAAGAACAACATCTATTTCATTGGCTCACTTTTGAAGACAATATTTACCAAACAGAGGTTTTATTTGGAATTACTTTTTATTGATTCTTAACTTAATTTTTTATATAAAAATATTAATTTTTGGACTAAAAATTGATTTAAAAAACCTCAATCTAAATCAAACTCATGATACAGAAATTTTTAACTGAATTAAAGGAGAAATTAAATAGATATTTAATTATAAAAATATATCAAAGTGATTAAGGGCATCTTCAATCGAACGCCAAACGAGCGTTTAACGTCATTCCTTCGCTCCAGCCGAACGCCAAAAAATCCTCCATTTGCTTGCGGGTGAACAGTGCAACGCCAATATTAGCGTTGCACTGTTCACCGACGCTATTTTTCTCTGTCAACCAAAAAAATGTGTGAAAGGAGAAGGGTCGTTACCTTGGCGCAGAAGCAAAAAAATGGCGTTGGATTGAAGCAGCACCACGCCATTTTTACTTTTTGCGGTATTTTGGTGTGAAAAATAGAGTTCTCGGTTGGAGATGACCTAATGCTTGATATACTCTTCAACTTTTAATTTATGCCATTGGGCATGTTACTGAGCTATTTTATTTGACTAACCCGTATCTTTTTTTTTTAAAATAAATCAGATCTACAAATAAAATAAAATAAAAATCAAATAACTAAAAAAGATCAAATAGCAAAATGTTGCCGACACATTCCTCACTATTCTACATTTCAAAATCGCATATTCATCAAATTTTTCATAAAACATCAAATCTTTGGAATATATGGATGTTCTTTAATTAGGCTAAAATAAAAAATGTTACAAAATAATTCGTGAAACCCAGGCTTTGCATTGCAGTGCTGCTGCTGCTCTACTAAGCCATGAAGGGTTGATAAATAGATTACCAGATTGTTTAGAATTCTTTGTTCAATCATCTACTGCAGATGGCTCTTCTTCTCGTAACTCCATTTTATATAAGCTGCAGTGTCTTTCAAATAATAGAAACTCCTAAAGAAAACAATCAGTAAATAATGCTTAGCAGAAAAAAAAATATAGCAAATGAGGAAAGAAAGATTAACAGAGCATAATAGTATTCACAACAAACCTGCAGCTGTTGCTGGCTAAACAATCGTAACATTCCAGAAGCAACTAGTTCAATTAACTCATCATGATGATCATTTGATTCCCCGGACTCGGCAAGTGAAACCGAGACCTGCAGACAATAAAATTATAATTTGTAATGCAATTGTTGAACATATTAAGACCATCTCCAACCGAACTTCGTACCACCATATACCGCCCGCCATTTGCTCCATTCGAACTCAAAAATTTTACGCCAAATTCTAGAAGGTGAACAGTGCGGCACCAATATTGGCGTCGGACTGTGCACCTACGCAAAAAAAATTCGCTGCGGGATTTGCTGAAGAATTGCGCGAAAGAGGAGAAAGGCGCGCCAAAGATGGTTACCTTCGCAGAAAGAAGAAGAAATGGCGTATATAGGCATCGCATGTTCACCTACGCCAAAAAAATTTGTTGCGGGATTTGCTGAAGAATCGCGCGAAAGAGGAGAAAAGCGCGCCAAAGATGGTTACCTTCGCAACAAGCGCACGAAAAAAAGAAGAAATGACGCTCGAATGGAGAATAATGACTGCATTTTCAAATTTTACTGCATTTTGGAGTGGAAAATGGGGTTTTTGGTTGGAGATGCCCTAAGTCTCCTGTTATACAACTTTAATTTATTCAATTAAAATTTATGTTTTAGATTCTGTTTTTTTACCTGCATGCAGCGTAGAATAATTTCTGGTAAGCAGCATTTTCGACAGAGGCCTTTGACCACATAAGTAGCTGGGATTTGGAATGAACCATCACTATCTGAATACCAAGCATCCATGCGGGAGATTTCTAATGAGACTCCGGCCTGGAAACGTGCCAATTCACCTGAAACAAAAATTTATTGTCAATGATACATCTTAAAAATACAGAGAGCATTCATAAAAATAATTTTGAATACCTTTGAATCCAGCGGCCATGACAGTAGCAAGAACACCACCATCATTTGATTCATGAAGCCCAAGCCCGTCACCTTCTATAGCTAAGCAACGAAGTGAGACTTCAAGACAATCGTTATTTGTGAGTGAGACTGAAACATTGACCTGTAAATTTATGATTCAACAAATGTAATGTACAACAAGAGATGGATTAAACTCACATCAAAATTTAGGATGATAAGATATTCAAGAATTTTCTCATCTTGAATTTATCCAGTAGTCCTATTTTTATATATTAAGGTCTTATTGCTCTAACTGAGAAATCAAATTGTGAATGAAATTTGACAAGATTCTTCTTCTATTCTCTTTCTCCCTTACTATATTCTCTCTACTCATGACCATTGTATTGCTTTTTAAACAAAATCATATGGTTCCCTAGTAATTTCCAGGTCAAGGTAATATTACTATTATTCCCACATGCATCTCAACAATGTACAGGTTCCTCACATTATAGTAAATCTCCAATTAATTCATAAAATCACTAAAGGATAATATTATAAGGTAACCTGTCCACTAATCATTACTTTTTCTGAACCTCACTATGGAAAAGATGATTGCGCAAGCTAGAGAATAACATAGTAATAACTTCTTGAAAACAAAATTCACTTATTGTGTTTATTCATCTTCACACTCAATACTAACGTCATTTGGGAGCATCATTATAGACTATTGCATCCCTCTTTTAAAATCTTACAATATATATTTCCTTACTTTTTATGAATGTTAAGATTTAAGATTACAATTATAAGACTTGTGAAATTACAAAACATCATCATATTTCTTATTCTAAAAATGATTCTAAATCCTCTGTTCCTTTTATGTCAATTCACTATGATATTTGGGGACATTAAAAAATCCCTAATATTTTGAGAGCTACAAGATTTTATCATTTTTATTGATGATTGCACCTAGATGATATGGATATATTTTATAAAATAAAACTCTGATGTCAACTCCATTCTCCATATATGCCTCATACCCATCGAACAATTTAGAGGATATTCTGCTTCTTTTTTATTTTTTGTGTAATTAGCTTTTGCTTTATTTCCAAATGTAAGAGCCTTAGACAAATCTATATATGTCTCTAATCTTTGTACAAACAACAAACAATAAAAATTTCAAGTAGTTCTTTTATATCTTCCTATTTTTCCTACAAATTGGCCACATGTTAATAGTCGAGGGATTATATACATACATAAATGTGTGTGTAGAGACATAATTTCTAATACATAATATAATGAATCCATTTTGACTTAATATTATCCAATTCAAATAAGGAAATATTTAACTGCATTAAACCTATCTTTTTAATAATTTTATTCAAAAACCAAATTGTTCATTTTTATATATTTTACTGTTGAAGTGACAGTGTAATTTGGTTTTTTACATTAAATGCATACACGTGCAGTTTTAAAACTCATGCTGTTGAAGTAAAAACATTCATGCATGTACAGTTTGGGTAGATTTAGTATGAGCAGCAAACTGATAAAACTTTGTATTTACTACACAACTCAAAAACCAAGACCAGCTCAAACAATGAAGCATAGACATGCATACATATGTTCACTTAGATCTTTCCTGAATATTAAGAATTATTTATTGAAGTAAAAAAAAAATTCTAATATATAACTCTACATCGGAGAATGAAAGTAGAAGATAAATTACCATTAATTGCCGTTTTAATGCTTCTTCTTCACTAACAGAATTGTATAGGGCGCTTGTCAATGTCGTACACAAGGTTGCATCAGGGCACAAACATTCACCAGAAGGTAGACAGAGCATTCCATAAGCATGCAAGTCAAGAAATATACCACTAGTTAACTCAAGTGGGCAATTCTCAATTGCATTTAACCATGGAGTTCCTTCTCCTGAAAAAGAGGGCACCATAAGCACTTCAATTAATTTTGCAAATTACTACAATTCTAGTCCTCCTAAATGTTTTAGGACGCCTTAACCACAAACTTTCCAAGGAAATATATGCAGAAACGAATCACATTATGGAGGGTTTAACATGATAGGATATAAATAACCAACACATCCATAGTAGTAAAGTTTTTATGTAATATAATGAAGCTTAGATATTGTAATACGGTTACTGATCATGAAGATAACAATATAGCAATTAGTAAAATTTCATATAACTTAAATAATAAAACATTCAATAATTTTTTTACAATTTTTAAGTTTCTCCAGTCTCTCCTCTCTTCCACTCTGGAGTTCGTAGGGGTAGAGTATTCATAGGTGTTATGACTTGTTTGGAGTAGCTCGTCTTACAGGTTGTGGTTACTTGACAGATGGACGAAATTCCAACATTTGGAAGATGTTTATAGTGAGGAAGCCTAGCAGCTAGGAAAAACCAGTCCAATAGGCGAGTTCAATGGCCCGACAATTCTTTGACAAATCCATTTGAAAAAGCTGGCATGATTGAATAAGGACTTGGATTCATTGCTTTTTTTACTAACCAATCAGGCTACAAAAATTGATGGTAATTCCATCAGAACTTAACATGTGGGAATCTATAGCAACGCACAAAAAATTAGGGCATTACACTTTCCCGTCATTCTTGATCCCCTACGAATAGGCATTAAAAACTACAATCAATGCTCATTTTCAAACCTATATTTTTATAATTACTACTTTTTGTAATAATATTCCTTATGAGCTTTTGTTTTGCATGGCTTACAAGGGATGTCTCCACATTATAGTTGTGATGTGTGGGAGGAAGAAAAGAAAAAGTGAAAATGACCCTTCAGGGTGTCTCCAATGAATGCGGCACTCTTGAAAGAGGCAATGATGAATTCCTCAAGCCGTTAGAAGGCTCTTTTATTAGTTGTTGAAGTAGACTTCCAAGCTTATGCAGAAGCACCCTGGTGAATCCACATCATGAGATTTATTTGTTGGAATTTTTGGTAGTGACGAAGATGAAGGATAAAATGACAACAAATGGACCCCTTGGTCCATTTAGACGGATGATTGGAGAGGTATTCAATAGGGGAGATATGGTCAAAGGGAAGCAATCAAGATGGTGGATTCTGAGAGGAGCGTGAATGTTTTAGTACTGTCTAGAATAGCAAAGCAAAGTAGGAATACATCAATAACTACTACAAAGACAAGGAATAAGGGATGAAACTTTATTGAATGTAGGTATGGCTATGATGATAGAAGACAATGATGATACTTCCCATTAGTTTCAGGGAAGGGGGCCTCAGGCATTAGGTTAAGCCTTGGTTGTAACCTTGAATAAGCTGCTTATGAAGTAGTAAGTCTTCATTTTAGCAACTTTGGTCATGTTGATTTGGCCATGACTTCAAACGAGGAGCTATAACAGGTAATTGAATATAAAAAGCAATAGCCTCAGACACTAAAAGCTTGGATTGAATGATTTGACCAAGTGGCAAAGTTTTTGGAAGCTCTCCAACATGACAGTGGAAAGTATTTTGATAGCTAAGAGGTGATCATGTAGAGGCTAAATAGGCTGGTCTACACAGATCAACCTTAGGAACCTGAATATTTCTATCAAGGGAATGGGAATCCGCACAGTGACAAAAGTTGTATCAACTAGAACATTCAAGATTTTAAAATTCGAACACAAGTTAAAGCACTTGGTGGACCGTGACAAGAGTGCCAAGAAGAATAAGTTGCACCCGATGATAAACAAGATTGTTTTGGGTGCAAAACATTGAAAGCAAACTTTGGCCTCCCACCTAAGGTCATCCTGGACCCATATTGTGCTACAAAATGAACCGTGACGTTTGGGATTTTGGAGGTGGCATGGCGTAGCCACCAAATATATCTAGCTCTATTGGAAAAAAAAGGCCATTATTAGCATGTTGTCCCAACATGAGAAGACTGACTCAAAATGATTGAGTGTATTTGAGTCACCTGATTATCATTTCCAAGGGCAAAAGCAAGCTATCGTTACATCATACGAGGTTCCTTGAGTTATGATGAATCATGAAGGCATGGCTTTTGTTTGGTTGGACTCCATGATTAAAGTGTGACAGAGAAGCTTATATTTGAAAAAGTATATTATTTTATATCTCCATGGCTCAAAAACAAAAAAGTACACATAAGGCACCCGTCGAATGCATGATCAAACATCTAAAGACTCATACATATTGTCCACAAGTAAAGAAAGAGAATAATGCCAAATAATTAATGGGTATATATCTAATAAAAAATTAGCACGAGTTGGGTTGGAGGATGCAATTCAAACGAGGATGCAAAGTAGGTAAACCATTCAAATTCATTTTATCAGCTTACTTGAGAAAATTAAAAGGGAACATGGGTCAAATGGGAGAAAAATGCTATGATTATGCACCTTGTTGCATTATTAAATCAAGGATGCAATATTACAAGGATATGATGGTAATACATTAGGATGTAAAAGGTGTGATAAGCCAACATGCCCAAATCATGATCTCGAGGAGGGGACAAGCAGTGATAAGCGGCTATACTCAAGAGGCTTCACATCAATTTCACAAACCAACATTCCATATAAGAATATTAAAGGTCAAGGTCAGAGATTCATCATACCACTCTATGCACTCAAGTAGGGGTATCAATTTCGGGTCACGGGTCGGGTTCGGGTCGAACCTGGAACTGACCCGGCACTATTCGGGTCAACCCGAACCCGACCCGTTTTTGCATACGGGTCGATTTTGCGGACCTGAACCTAACCCGCTTAGGGTTGGACAGCGCCACAGCAGCAATGCGTAGATCGTTTCGGGTTCGATAGTGCTCGGCAACAACGCAGGCAGCCGGAGTTCGGCAGCAGCAGCCGACAACGGCCAAGCGCGGCGGACTCGACCGCGGGTTCGCGAGGACCGCGGCAACGGCTCGCGCCTCTCGGGCAGCTGGATCGCAGGCACTGCTGCACTGGGCAGATGGGCAGACCGCAGATGCGACTGCGGCACTGCGCGACATGTCGGTGATGTGACACTCGCGCCTCTCGATGCACGCGGGCAGAACGATGCGGGTAGCTGGGTCATTCCGGGTCATTTCCGGGTTCTCGGGTCAACCCGAACCGGACCCGATTCAGGTTTGGGTCAACCCAAACCCGAAATTTTCGGGTCGGGTCAAATATTGACACCCCTACACTCAAGGCCCTACAAAACCATTCCTCTCACTTTAATCCTCTTCTCCCATCTAGATGCCATAACCTAGTATTGTTTTAATATCAATATTAGTAGTAATGAGCAACGTGCAGATGGATGTTCGATGCCTTTGCTTCCCACTTTCTGTTTAGCTCATTTTCACATCATCAAAACTTTACGAACTTTTGTAAGTGCATCCTCTTTAACCTAAATTGCGGACAAACCTTCCCTAAGTCGACGAGCATCATAACACTCTACTTCAATGCAGTCTCAACATTTTCTCAACATAGTTCAACTTTGGTTATCATTGCATATTTTGAAGAAGATCATTCATGCCTTTCACTCTTGTTACATAGTGTTAGCCAAGCTTAAGAAGCTTTTTGCTTGGGTTAGAAATTCTCTTTTACTATAATGTCTTGTGGTCAATGGCTAAGGTCCTGTATTTTTCATCTTCCAATGCCTAAATGGATTTGTATTCTTGATGTCGCATGACTCGAACATCCTAAAGACCCAAGGGTAATGAAAGTCTGTCCAATATGAATTGATGTAGATTTATTCATATTATCTAACAACAATTGATTAATTTTGACCATTTCTCTAAACTAGATGCAATTGGTAGGGGAGCCACAATGCCTTTGTAACACCTTTTAGGAGCTAGTGACTATGTGGAGTGATGAAGCGACCATTGAACAACTTAGAGATCCATAGAGATTCATTCATGTGTAGGTTACATGCAGAGCCAAAATGTGGAGCTAAAGGCAGTGTGAGGGAAGATATTCTATTTGAAATAATTGAGAAATCAATTCCAAAATGTGGAGCTACTTGGCATAATCCCAAGGGGGAAATATCAATCTTCAAGAAAATCTAGGAATAGCAAATGGTGGCATGAGTCCCCCCTAACTGTGGGGTAAAAATGGCAGTGGGAGTTGGTCTGCAAAAGGAGATATAATGTCCCCCTTCAATTTGTGGATGAACCAAATTTCTCAATGAGAGCACCAAAGATGTGAATGATCAACAATAAATTCAAAATGAATTTACTCCTAAATGGGTGGTAAAAAGGAGCGGACGTTTGAGCTATAGAGTCAGTTTACATCTTGAAAAAGGAAATAATGTTATCACTGAGAAGGGAAATGATAGAAAAGGACAAAATAGAAAAAGAAAAAAATCTCAAACAAAAGTTTTGGAGTATGTGAGAGCCCTTCTGCACAAGTTCTGGGTAGAACTGCTTATCCCACACACTGAAGAGAGAGTTTGTCTCATAGAGTCTTTTTCCATCTAGGCTCAGCTGGATCATCTGTGGTCCTCCATGCAGTCGGTTTTCCTGACGAAAATTAATACAAGGTCTACTAGATAAGCAAGAAGATTTATACATGAATAATGAATTAGTCTGCATGAAAGAATAGTAAGGGGGGCGTTGATTCTAGTTAATAAACTGCAATGATCTTGAATATGAATCCAGCAATATCAAATAAAATATAATCATATTGCTGAACTTGCAATCCTCAAGTAGAAAGCAATAAAAGAATGCCAAATTCATTTAAAATATGATATTACAACTCAATAAACCAATTGAAGGCAAAGTATATGTTGGGCGTGCCAAGTAAGTGTAGCTAAGACATCCCTAGCTAAAAAATACAAAACCCTATGCTATAAGTAATTTAGCCTTATGGCCTACATCTAGCGGTGTCAATATTTGACATGACACGAAAACCCGACCCGGAAAATCCGGGATGGACCCGACCCGATTTCAAAACAGGTCGGGTTTGGGTTCCCGGATTCGACCTGTTTGAAAAACGGGTCGGGACCCGAACCCGACCCGTGACCCGAAATTGACACCCCTACCTACATCCAATGTAGAGGAAAGAGGATAGTTTTGATTGTGAGATGAAAGGGATCTACAGTTGTCATTCTTATAATCACCTGTCTTGGGTTCCTTCCTTAAATTTGTCTCACACATATTCAAAGTTAATAAATAAAAAGACTTGATTCCTCTCATTTTTCTTTTCTGCTTGTGGAATAGCAGAGCATTTATAGGTTTTGTGGCCTATCAAAAGCATTCAACTCAACTAACCGAGATTGCTTCAAAAGTCAAGTAAAAATTGATATTTGGAGGACAATTCCAAGTGTGGCAATTGACAGCCCGACAATTCTTCCAATTTGGATGGGCAAGAAAACCTAGTGTGATCAAATGATGACTTGTTTCTAGTCTTTCCTTATTAATCAATTAAGATGTTTGATTTGGTTGAGTCGTGCTTTCATTAAAATTTAATATGTTGATGGCTATGATGACAAGAGGACGTGAGGGCTTTACGTTGTAAGAGTTTAGAATTTTGGTTATAATTAATGCGTTGTAAGAGTATAAAATTTTGGTTATAATTAATACGTTGCATGTAAAAAATAACTTGTATTTAACTCATAAGAAACAAGAATGAGTATTCAAACATTCAGTAAGCCAAAAATATTTTAGGCTTTTCGTTGATGATCATGACAAGAAAAATGTTATTAGCAACCATGATCAAAATTCTGGGACAAGGTAATGATGTAGCAGCAACCATCAAGATAAATAATTTAAAAAATAAAACTATTATGAACAAAGTATTGCTATCAGATGTCAATGAATTAGATGCACATACTAAGAAGCAACGACAGTGAAGAATTTAATGTTTCACGAGCAGCAACAATGGCCATCTCCTTTTCTTCTGAAGAGAGATCTGCAGGAGGAACGGCTGAATTTTCCCACTCAAGTTTAAGCCAACTCCGATAAGTTGCATCACATGAGTAATACTCCCTCTGCTCAAAAAAAAAAAGAAAAGAAAAAAAAGTTGTCAGAAAGTTTACTGCAATTTAAAATTAATTCCAATCTAAAGTTTATTAAAAAAAAAAAAGAGAACATATTGCAGTGTATACCCAGTCTTCAAATTCATGGAGATTCTCCAAAACATTATAGTCATCAAAGGATAGAAGTGCTTCCTTAGGTTGCTTCAAAGGCTCAGCAAGGAAACTTAGTAACATGTGCGCTCCTATCGGCATTTTAGGAATTCTCCACATAGAAATTAAGGCAAATTCTCTGAAGAGGATGTTACTAGAGCATAAAAAAATAAAAGATTAGTTTACGGTGAACCTTAAAATAAGAATTTAAATACTGAAATGAAGGAACCAGGCACGAATGTTTTTGCCTTCTACCAATATTTACAATAATCATTAATACGATGACAGCGGAAAAACTTTATACGAAAGCTAGTTACCTATGTATCAATGCTCTAATGAGAAGTTTTGCTCTGATAGTCTCAAAATCACTAACGGTAGTAGGAGGAGTGAAACAAAGCCATTGAATTGCCATAGCCTTCTGCAAAGATTGCAATCGGTGCTGTTCTGCAACATCCGAAGGTTTTTCAACATATTTACTAGCTTTCATTTCTCGAGATCTTGAAAGAACCCTGCAAAAAATTTGAACCTTGCTGACTTTGGTACAAAAAAGAATATACAAATTTACACTTCTTGCAGAACAAATGCAATCAACATACCTTTCAATAATGTCTTTGAAACTTGCCTTGGATTGGTCTTCCATAGAGAAAGGCAAATACTCGATTGCAGAACGAAAAAGTTTATGTTTTATCTGTATGCTTTTCATTTGGAATGCAGATAAAATTATTAGAAGTTTCTCAAATCAAGTAGTAGTTGTCAAGAACGTAAACAAAAAAAGTTGCGAGTAAGCCCAAAATAATGTTGGGTAACATTTAAGGTTCAAGCAGAAACAACAGCAACTCCTTAATACCTGCTATTCAACCTTAACTCCATCATTTCAACAAACAGATCGATGCAATAATGACGAGTAATTTGAGAGGCATATACTCCAACCAGCTCTTCATGATGCTCAGAAAATAAGAACATTGCATACCTAAGTAAGACGAGTGATAATAATCAGGAAAACATCTGATACTACTCAAAGAAAAATACTGATCACAAAAGACTAGAAAATATTTTATGCTTAACCTATTCAAATAATAACAAAACAAAATGCAAAACGTCAGCAGCTGGCTCAATCACGAAAAAGAAAAAGATTGTTAAACCTTAACTACAGGAACTGTAAAGACAAAATTCAAAAGAACTTAAACACACCTCTCCGAATGAAACTTCATGACAAAATCATAAAACAAATCGAATTAGGAACTTTCATTCAAGGAAGCTAATTTAAAAGTTCCATACAAGAAAAGCATTTCCTACACACATGAGCAACAATGTCTTAGTAAAGTTGCAAGAATATTTCCGCTTCCTCTTAACAAACTAAGTCTAGTTTTTACAATATTACACACAATAGGTAACATTTGTGTCTAGAATTCAGCCACCATTATTTTAATTTAATTTACTACTTTCATTAATATACTAAGTTTGGTTTACCACGACAGCACTCTGGGGTTAGAAAATTACCAATTTGAACTTTATAAACAATGAATACCAAATTACAATTGAGCATACAAAAATTTCAAAAAATGGTCAGTTCAATCGACACTTTCATAAATACCTAAATATTTGCATTAATTGATCAAATTTGTGCATCAGGATTTAGGGTCGAGTGCTTAGCTTGTTTGTAAACTTATTAGACTTCACTAAAAACATAAAAAAAAATTTTAAAAAACGAATTGTTACCTTCAGAAAAAGGAAATGAAACTGGCCTGTTATACTTACAAAAGAAATAAATAATTGATATATGAGATCAATATTGTCAATTGTATGAGTGACAACAGGTATGAAACTATAAACTATAGATATTTATCATGAATCTTAACACCTTCACTTTTTCATGGCACAAATAAAATGCAAATATCATTTTAGTGAAAACCCTAATTATAGCATCTCTTTTGTTGCACTCCATTCCTCAGAAAACACCTATGAATTATTCAATTTTTTAAAAGGAGATATATGCTTTCCAAGTGAATAATAACAAGATATAATGAAATATGGATTAAATTCAACAGTGAAATATAGACAGCGGACACAAGTCACTAAAGTATAAAGTAGTATATCAATCCAAATGATGAAATGTTAAACTAACAAGTTCTCCAAAATGGAAACATTTTAGAATACCAAATTTAGAGGGTTGCAAGGGAGGAAGAAGTGTAGGGAAGCTCACATTTGAAGAATGTTATCCCCAACTGTCATAAGTTTCTCCTTGAAGGCATCCTTCATTTCATCATCAAGAAGATATCTAAGAAGTAGAGACAAATGGGCTCCAAATCGTATCATTTGAGGATCACCATGTGGGCTACAAAATAGACATGCAATTAGACATATAAGCCATAACAGAGGTCCTAGCAACATTGTTTTTTCTGGTTTTAGGTGATACCGTAAGCCATTTTGTTCATCCTCGGATGGTGATATCCATAACCATATAAGGTCCAGGAGATACGGAATATCACAAAGCATTAGATTCATCTGCCCATAGTCTAGTGTTAGCTTGAAAAAAGGAATATAGAAAAAAAAAATACTCAGATTGCATAAGTTAGGCTTACACTCCAATTTAGAAAAATAAACATTTGATTTTATGATACAAAAAAAAAAAAACTTTCCAAACACAGATTAGCAAGTTTCAGTTGCAAGTGAAAGGATCGATTTTGTAGTGACAAAATTTGGTAGCCAATCAAATGCATAAATTATAACACCACTCAACCAAAAAGAATTCAACAGAGATAAAATAGAAATAATTCATCCTCAACAGAGATGCCTTGAAGTACTGCGGAAGCCATGGCATGTACCAAACATAAATAGGTAAATTAATAAATTCAAACATGTGCAATTCTACCGATTAATTACAACAGCTGCAAAATAAAAAGCAACAATAGCAAGAAAAATCACAGTATCAGTGCATAATAGGAGGTAAAAGCAAAGGATAGAGGAACCCGAGGAAAGTGACCATTAACAGCTGTATCAACAAGGCACAGCACCTTACTCGTGGGTAATTGATAGAAGGAAATGACATTTGTCACCAAAACAGTCAACAAAACTGCAAGTTGCAGCAACCGTCAATCAATGTGCTTTAGGAAGTCACATTTAGTTGAAACTTTCTCTGGTCCAGTTTTTACATAGAAAAGGCGAGATAGGTGTGGGTTAAGTTTTCCAATTTGATTCAATTGCTATTAAACCAATATATAGAACAAAATAGTGTGAGACTGGAGCAATAATTAAATTGCCTTCATTTATTTTAATTGCAAAAAATAGTCTCTCACTCTCTCTACAGCATGGCTTAAGTCTAGGTACATCAACCCCACGCAAGATCCAGCATTGGCAGGAAACCTCATGCTCTGTGCACGTCCTTTTTAGATTAAATCATTCCAAACCAGTCTATGCCGAACAAAAAGGGAACAACAGCATAAATAGTTCTTCACATGAACACCAAAGAATCCTTGATCAGGAAATGAAAGCAGTACTAGCTAAATTTTGTATATCCTTTCCTTAACGAAAGCAGTAATTCTTAGTTCTTACCTCAATTTGCCGATGTTGTTCTTTGCATGCTTTTGACACAGCTTCATGTACAATCTCACTAGACGAAATAGAAAGCAGTATCGCATCAGATGTCAGATGAACACAATTTAAGGCAAAAGAAGTGCAGTATTCCTTACCCTGAATGAAGCTTCTGAAGTAGACTAGGAAAGTCCCGTGGCTGTTGATCAACAACATGATCTGGCCAAGTTTCTGGACCAGCTGAAGGTCCACGGGATGAAATCCCAACTGTATCATCTCCATAGGGCTTTTCTGCATCTCTACCACGCTGAAAGCTAGTTAGGTGTAAATCAACCTGAACATCAAGCCAAGACTTCGCCATTGCCCAGCAAGCTGACTGTCAAATATGATTTTGCATTTTGAGCACTTAAAGGAAAAGTATCGTTGAAGTAATGACATTATTTTTGTAAAACATAAGCTGCTATAAAATAAGAGAAACACGTTTTGTATTACTGTAAATAAGCAAAAGATAGAAGAAAAAAAAAAAGATGTTCCGGCTAGAAACATCATTGTTCATAAGGGAGTAAAAATCTACCTCCCAATCTTCACAGATAGAGAGCATCCGCTTCAAGTTACTACACTGAGCAGCATACACAGCCATCTCATATTTCCCACCATCTTGCTCGGCTATTTTCTTCACAATAAAAATCACAATGACAGACTCGGTTAGAAATTAAAATTATTAGAACAATTCATGTAATCTACGCCACAGCATTCTTTTAAAAATGCATCAAAAGAACACTTCAACTAAGGGAGAAATAAAATCACAAGGTGATACACCACCATTAAGAGCGGAAACATCAACAGCAACAATTACTTAAGGTGATAATATAAATATCACAACATACAGATAAACCATGGAAAATCAATTAAATGCAAGTTATTTATAGGCATTTATGAGAAAAATCTCAATATGAGTAGGCACAGATGCTGTTGAATTCATGGATAATGTAAATTATGAGGTGATGAGGACCATAGCATTAGGTGTTCACATAGAAAACGCTGCAAAAAGTTTCAACAGCTACAAAAACATGATTATGCTCACATATCTTAAGATTAAGGGATATTAGGTATTCTGTTGCAATCCATATTGCAGAAATTAATATTATTACCATTATAATAATCCATATTTTAGCAATAGGCATCATAAAACCGACTTAGAATGTACTATATTTTATTTAGACAGATTAATATTATTACCATTATAATAACTTTTCCTCTTAATCTCACTCATTTTTAAAAGTAAAAAAAAAAATGTTGCATGGATTATTCATTCAGTATTTCAAAAAAATAATCCTGAAAAATTAATAATCTTTGAGGAAAAATCCCTACAAAAATGTGGAATTTTTCCTTGATGCAATTCGAGCAAGTTTTATCACTAACCGGAGATCAACCACTAGATATGGGCATACATGTTTGAGTAAAATTAATCACACAGAGAAGTAAGAAACAATCTATCATGGGATTAAGTAGTGCTAAAGCAAAATTCATATCTATGTTACACAAGATCTAAAAGGGAATTTGGCTAGAAAAAAATGCAACAACAATTGAAGAGATCATTAATAAAGCTACCATCAGCAAGATTCCAGCAGGATTCTAGCATGCATAATAGGAGAAATCACAAAAACGAATGAAGGGGCGAAATAGGTCGAATGTTAGGAAAACGCCTTACCTTCGCTGCGAGCTCCTGTTGGATCAAGTTAAACACGACACATGCAAGAAAGAGAGGAAAGCGCCTTATAGTTCACACGACACATGCAAGAAAGAAAGAAAGAATGTCACGTTTGCTTCGACCTGTCGTAATGAAAGTTACAAAACTATCAAAATTCTGCTTCTCAAAAAACAGTCGAACCCTGCACTGGCTTGAAAGGAAAGATGGATCGTTAACTCTCTATGAAGAACTCGTCTTACATGAAACAGACCAGGTTGAAGTAGGCGAGGTCGAAGTAGTTTACACAAAGCAGAACGAGAGTGTGTTACCTTCGTTGCAAGCTGCATAAGGGGTATAGATTGGAAAAGGTGTTTTGAAATAGAAGAAGTCCTAAATCTAATAAGCATGCTCGACTTGCGACTCTACCGAACTAAAATTAATAATTGAATCGAGGTAGCGCCTCGCACTGCCTCGAGGCCTTACATCTTAAGGCATACGCATCAGTCACGAAAAGCATAAGTTTAGTTAGAACTAACGAGGCTTAAGCCTCGATGCATCTTAGCAATGCCTTGACACCTCAAATGTTTTTTTAAACGATGGCCAATATAGATAGTGGCACAATTGTTGCGATACAAAGTCAAAAGCTGAGTACCAAAAAAACCAATATTTCCTAAAAGAGTGATCTATAGTGACATTCTGAAGACAAATCTTAACCAAAATTTTACAAAGTTTGTTAAACTAACACATGGACTTTGTTTAAAGCAATACATAGCCCTATTGAATAAACATATATAGTTCACCACACGAGTAACATACCTAGAAGTTGCTTATTGGTTTTATTCATCACCACTAAGGAAAGGCATGTGGACTACGAAAATTTAGATTTGGCCTTTTCAAGAGAGTTTGTTCTGGGTTGAGGGAGAAGGATATCCATTGGCGATTGAAGTAATGAGTTTCCAAAGCGAGCTGATCAATGATAAGAGGAAGGGTTGGATGCAACGGTTTGAAGTTGGAATTGTTGTTGGAGGGTTTTCGGCAAGGTCATTGCCGGATTTAAGGAAGGCAACGAGGAGCTTGGTTGTTTGGGTTGGTTGGAATTGGGAGAGGTGCGAGTAACTGTGATGGGGTTAATAGGCTAGGTAGGCAAGGCACATGCTAAAAGCAAGAAGATGAGAGGAGTGGTGAGATCTCTCAAACTCTTCTTTACATGTTGGTCTCATAGATGCCTAGTCAACAAGCTTACACGACTACTTCCTCACTTCTATGTCATTGAGGGGGCTTTATGTAGAAGCGAATTCAAGTCAAATCTACCACCAAGTTGCATGAACTCCACTTCCATAGACGTGGCCGATTTGTCAATACCGTCATAAGCAAACTCTCGTGCAATATCTTAGCTCTTTATATGCCACTAGATATATTGATGCCTTCTCCATAAGCTTCCATTGTGCCCTCGTCATTTCTAGTCACCTAGGGTTTTGGGAGTTGGGTAGGTGAAGACCCAAAGAAGGGAAGAGAGAAGGGGAGCCCAAGAGGGAGAGGGGCCAAGCGAGTTTAGTAAGAGAGGGAGATAGCAAGGCAAAGTAAGTGAGAGAAAATGACAGAAGATAAGACACAATTTAGATTTTTTATGTTTTTTCCTTTTTTTTTTTAATGAGATTGGATGAGATAGAGAAGCATACGAGATAAGCAACAGAGTTAAATGATGTATAGCAGGATTTCTAAGATTTGGTAGATATATGGGACAGAAAGGTAGAGATGGTAGAGGAATTTCCTCTCTTTTTTTTTTAATTAGATAAATTAAAATAATAATGGGTTGACTTCGCTTCATGAATCTTATTCATTTGTGAGCACATTAACAATTTGTCTTGTCATCTCATACACGGGTAAATTTTTTTAACAAAATTTCCTTGAGTTACGATCCAAAAAATATGGCGGTGTTCCTCAGTAATTTCAAAGCTTCAAACACATTGAGGCGGGTTATTTTGTGAAAAGAGGGATGATTAGACAACTAATTGCAATCAAAGCATTTCAATTTAGATTTGCGCAATGTCGCATTCTTTGTCCATTGTTTCCATCATTGTTGTCGCATTTAATTGTGTTTGATTATGGAGCAAGTATTGAGGTCAACTACACATTGCTTACATCAATTTGTAGCATAATTAAACAGTAATTGATGGCTACAAAAAAGAATTATGACGGAATTTGGGTGTGCAACTAGGATAATGTGTCAAGATGGTATATCCCATGAACCTAGTTGAACTTTTTGGCTACCAATCAAGCTTTTGTGGTGATCGTTCAATCCATCATGATGAAATTTTATAGTGAAAGTCCATCGATAGTCAATTGGTTTAACCCTAGAAGGTACTATCAAATCCTAGGTAAGATAACTAAGAAGAAAATCAATTATAACAACCATAACAATTTGTCATAAAGGATTTTGCAACAAATCTTAATATGTCATAAGAATATATACAAATGACAATGAAAGGGCAATGAATGAAACAAAGTGAATAAATAATCAAATGAAGAATACAAGTGAATAATATTAGTAATGTTGCCTTTTATCTCTTACGCAGGTAACGAGTAAATATAGGATAGATGGCTCAATGGCTGATGCATGCTCAATTGAACCTAAAAATGTGGTTAAAGGTGTTATCACGAATAGAGGTTGAGGACAACAAGAGTATACATATATGTGATGTTGACTCATAACCGTATAGCCAACAAAACGATCGGACCCAACCAAACAACCACCCACGTCGCTTCCACGATTGCAAAGAACCGCTCCTCTACAACACAAAAACGACTCCTCTCATTTGGCTCTCACGCTCTTAGAATCAAAAGCAAAGAGGAAAGAAGATTTCGGGAAACTTACAGTGCTCTCACTCGACGACCGAATTGCACCGTCTCCGACCGCATCTCCTCCAGACCGCCGGCTGTGCTTCCTTCTCCGAACTCGAAGCCAACGCGACCTCCGACCGAACTCGATCCATCGCTCTGGTTTTCGACTCTAACCTCAGCGGCCAACTCCAGCCGGCGAAGACGACGCCGACCTAGCTTCCGATCTTCACAATCTCAAACTCCTCAGTGCAAACACCCGACTACAAGCATCCCAACTGTGCCTTCTACTTGCTGAAACCAACTTGCCTCGACTCGTCGGCCTGCCGCCTTCGCCACCGACCAAGGACTCGCCGAACTCCTGCTCGTCGTGCCCTAGCCCTCAACCGCCAGACCCGCGGCTGACTAACTTCCTACCTCCGGCCGACCCTGACCTGACGCTCCTCCGTGCGTGTCGCTTGCCCCGATCGAGCTTCTTCTTCCTGATCTGCCTATTCCCCTCTCTATTTTTGCTATATAATAATATTATATAGTATAATATATGTAATATTATATATATATGAAATTATGTATATAATATTACATTATATAATATAATAATAAATTATTATTATTATTATTTCATATAATAATAGTATAATATTATATGTATAATAAAAAAAGAGAAATAATTTGCAAGCAGGTGGGAGCAATTTGAAGGAAGTCCCGGGGTTGATCCGGTTCCCTGAAGCCCTTGGCCGTTGAGCTAATCCGGCCGAGGGAGCGCATACACTAATGGACTCGTTTGCTCTCTCAACCTCCTCGCCGTTGATTCGCTCTGGCCGAGTCAAGTCCAAAGGGAAAATGCCCTCCTTACCTCCCTGTGCCGGGGAGGGGACGCCGGAAGGTTGTTGGATTTTCCTTAAAAATCCATAACCAAATTTTTGCAAAAATTGGAGAAACATGCCATTAAATTTTATTTAAATAATTAATGTAATAAAAAAGAAGAAGAAAGGAGAGATGAATTTTAAAACAGGTAGGAGCAAGCAAGGACAAAATTTAAAGGAAGTCTTGGGGTTGATCTGGTCCCCCAAAGCCCTTAGTCTTTGAGCTTATCCGACCGATGGATTGAAGACTTGAAGATCCAATCTCCCATTAAGTCTCTTAATTAATTTAACTAACCAACTTAAACAAAATCCCTTAAATAAAATCAACTAACATAAATTGGAATAATCAATAATTAAAAAAAAAGGAAATCATGTGCGACTACATTCTAAATGAAGGTGAAAATTTTCTTGAAGTCCACAGAGGGAGATTGGATGCTAGCAACTTGCTCTATACATAATTTGTAGTGCCAACTTTAATTATGTATAAGATTTTTACCTAAGGCTAGTAAATGAGTCCACATCCATAAAATAAATATTCGTTTGATGGAAGATTTTATTATGTTCTAAATCAATAAGGCATCTTGCTTATGTTGCTTATGCAATGTCAAGATAAATTAATAGATTATTATATTATATTGACCAAACTTCTTACAAATGTGAACTATCTTCCAAGGCAATTGATCACAATATGATGATTTGAAGAACTGATGATTCTCATAAATCATTAAAACCTTATACTCAAATAAATTGAGAAATTGTCTAGGTCACCCTTAACAATGACTGATTTGTAATGAATATAATTTGTCGTGTTGTTATACGAGCAATATTTAACAGACTTAAGAGCGGCATATTATAATTCACCTATAAATGGGAGCAGATAATTTATAGTGCCCACTACAAGCATACTACAATTCACCTATGAGAAGGAATAGGGAATTCGTAGTGCCCACAACAATTAGTTTGCAAGCAAGGACAAAGAGCTTATATCAAATAAATCAATTTATATATGGGAGAGAATAGGGTAACTTATAGCAAGCGACGTGCCCTCTGATAGGGTGGTTTTGCCACAAAATGACACAATTATATTACGATGTTCCCTAAGGCGTCAAACCCTTGAGTTATGAATCATAGGGTACATTCGATAGGCATAAAGCCCTCTATCAGCTAAGGTGAATTCATATATATCCCCTTAGACATATACCAACCCAAGTCTACAAGGTATTCTTGGACGAAGCAACCCATGGATGCCGATAAGGTGCCTTCTGTCAAGTTGGGTCGACTACCTCCTCTGACTAATTAGACCATGGAACATGGCAGCCCGGGACGACGGAATCATGGGATCTTGATCGGGCTCGTCTTCAATTCCCCCATCACCAGTTTTAAGTTTATGGTGATAAACTCTAAATTTGAAACTTCAAAATTTAAATCCAAGACCCAAACCCTAAAACTATTGCTATTATACGATTAGTTTATAACATATTTGACCTCCTTAATGACTAGCCTTAATCGAAAGTTCTCTCCAGTTATCGGGAGGGGTAATTAACTATAAGGGCTTGCGCCTATAGGAAACTAGAACTCAGATAAAAAAGTCCTCACAAAATAAGGGCGAAATATCTGGGTAGTGTCTTATCTAAAAACCCAATCTGCCTTCTAAAAATTTCCTCGGAACCTAATCTCGTTAAAACTCTCTACCATCATAATTACACACACTCAAAAGAAAAATAGATGGATGACGCAGAGAGACCGGGATCACATCCTAAAATGGAATTTTTCGTAGCCCACATGTGAATAGATGTAGGGAGATGAACTTTGGATAAAGAGAAACTGGTGGTGCATAAGGTTCACGTAGCTAAAGGAAAAAAAAAAAAAGTTGTAATTTTATTAAAGATTACATTGTCGGAATCATAAAATCATCATATAATAGGATCATGGCACTAATATACCTTCTAATTGTAAGATTACCCAAGGAAGATGCATCCCATAGCAAAGTAAAAAGTGAATGGCATACCCAAGAGCAAATGAATTGGTGTGCAAGTTTTTCAAACAACTTGAAACAAATGTAAATATAGTTTAGAGTGTTCTTTTTCTTAAGAGATTACAAATCAAGATACCGCCAGAGAAATAAATTCAAAGATGTAGGCTAATAAATTTCTTTTATGTTATTTTTAAAGAACCAACAATAAGATGATAAAAATTTGAGAGTAAACTAGAAAATTTGCGAAGTCCATAATCATTCACTAGTACATCAATTAAACAAGAGCAAAGTGAAATAAGCAAATAATCAAAAATAACAGTACATGTAAAAATTAAAGGAAAAAAAGATGCTCAAACCAATTTATAATGGTTCGACCCTATTGGCCTACATTAATTTCTCGGGTCTTCTTCCTGAGAATGCCGCGAACCACTCCTACAAACGCAAGGTGTAGAAACCTCCCTCCTTAAAGGATAATGAAGAAATTTTGCACCTTCTACTCTAAGCAAGAAGATCACTACTCTATCCCACCAACTAGTTAACCAAAGTAATAAAGAGCCTTTTGAGATATCAAGGATCCCTTATAATCACAATTTAAAATCTTTTAAAAAGCCACAAAAGCATCATAGAAACCAAGCAAAAGAATATAGGGGAAATAGCTAAGTAGTGCACTCTCATAATGAAATCTATGCTTTCTAAAATTTGTAAATTAAAGGCAAAGAATCTCTCCCAAAGCAAACTCCTCTTCTTTGTTTCTCTAAAATTTTCTGGCCTCTCACATTTTCCAATTTTTAGAAAGGTCGAGTGCCTTAAAACTAAACCTTTAAAACAGGTTGAGAAAGAAAGATCGAGGCAATACAAACTGATTCATATCATGCAAATCAGGTTATGATTGATCATATGGCTCAATTCACATTGTACGGTGCGATCAACACCAAGCGACTAGCTACAATGAATGAGTGTGTCAGCATGCACGCAAATAAAAGTATGCATACCAAGTTACCAACAACAACAACATGAGTGTGCAAATGTGTAGCAGGAGCAAGCTAGTGAGTTGCAACAATGCATGGGGACATCCTTGGGCCAATGATGATACATGTGCAAGAAGCAGCATATGGGCGCGGCGCAAACAACAATAGGTTTCGGACAAGAGTGGATGGCTAACAACTTTTGGTATGAGATCAATCAAGTGAGGGCCTAGGATTTTCCAACTTGATGCTATATTGATAGGAAATGAACTTCATTTATTGATTGAATATGTCGAACTTATAAATTGGCATATATGAGGATAAGATAAGTACACAAACAAAAGAGAATAACACTTGGTATTATGAGAATATAAAAAATATATCTCTAATATAATAATAGTTCAATACTACGGAACCCGTCAAATATTCTAGCATCGCCAATAAACATTAACACAAGAAAATATTCCCTTAAAATAATAGGGTCCATTAAAATAACTTTTGCAATAGATCTTCACAAAGAATGCAAAAAGAGGATATAATACATCATTTTCCTATATAATGTTTTTTTTTTAACATTTCGTTGAGTGAAAAGTTTAATTTCATAAAAATTTTAACAAAGCAAAATTAGTACTTTCATTGAAAGTTCTTGTTAAGTGGCAAAAAAATATTGAAGTTCCAAGATTTTAGTTAATTATGTTGATTAAAAATCAACAATATAGAAATAAATATCCACATAGTTCCCAATACATAATCTTTATCATCAAACTATTTCATCTTATAGATCAGTAATGCAAATGAATAATGCAACTTTATAATAATACCGAAAAAACATAAACCAATTACTGCATAAAGAAACTCATAAATAAATTCAAAGATTCATACCTCTGATGCACAATAGCATGCCCACTTCCAAAGACGCAATTGGCGTGCAATGCCACTATCCAGCTCAATTGCTTGTAGCAACCTAGGTTTCCCATTCTTAGCCATAGCTTCTATGGAAGGTAATATATCCAGTCCTCCAAAAGGGCATAGAGTTGAAGCTCGCCATGGCTAAATTAATAAATGTAATGCAATCAACAAACAACGAAATTTTCAAGAGATGGATCATCAATGTAACTTCCATACCTGTCCTGCAGAACGGCAAAGCTCACAAGCCTCATCTATGTGCCCAGCTCTTAGCAGAATCCATACATCTTCGAGGAGTGCTTCGTCCTGCTTCTGCTTACAAAAACTGAACCTCCAATAACTATTCTATGGATAACTAGAGAGAGAATTACACAGCAGCAGGGTCATAAAAAACAAATTGCAGAATGGGGAATGCCAAGCAGTCTGCAACTGAACTTGATTTTAATCAATCCAAATCTCAAGGGTTTTCCTCAAAGATTTTGTTAGACAGGTCCAGTGGACCGGTCCAGCCGGTCCACGCGGGACCGGCCCAGACGCGAAACTCGCGAATTTTTTCTCCTGGGCGGAGGCCGCGCGTGCCGTTAGCATTGCGGGAGCCTAATAGGAAGGTTTTTTGGGGAGATCAAGAGGGAAATTTGAATGTAGGGACTGTTTAGGGATTTCCTTTTGATTTGTATGCATTAAATAGTAGATTTTCCTAGGATTTGATCATCTTGAATTTGGCTGAAATTTGAGATCTCTTAGATTTAGGTTTTCTTTGGGCTCTAGCGACGTCTAGAGATTTGGGAGAGATCGATCCTCCTCTCGAATTGAGGATCAATTGTATCTT